CTATCCGTATAATTTTTTTGTATACAGAATATTTCATAGTATGCGTACATAACTTCAAGAATCGTTTCAATACGTTAAAATAAGAACAAAAAAAGATCACATAATCACATAAAAATTCCATTATTTTCGTTTACCCTTTTCCTCAATATTTTCTATACCAATCGTTAATATAAATAATATCAAATAGAAAATAATAATAATAAAAAATCTAAAATAGAGAATATGTAAAAAAAACTTAAGAAAAAGTAAACAAACTTTTAGAACAGGTTAATACATTTAAGTATTATATCAAAAAATATTATATTGACATAACTTATATATCTGTGTGTATATGCGTGTGTGCGCGTAAGTATAATTGTATCTATCGAACTATATATATTTATATAACAATAAAAATAACTAAAGCGAGTGAAAGAGAAAGAAAAAGAGAGAGTAAAAAACAAACAAGTAGAAAAAGATGGTGGAAAAGTGATTTTTTGACGCGATATCGGCGCCATTGTTGCGTCGAGTGCTCGTCACCGTATGTCACCAGGAAGAACATCAACGAAAGCTGTTACGCAGCCGCCGGAACGACGTTAACGTCGATACTTTATCGCTAACAACCTTCTCTCGTTTTCTTTCACACATATATACAGATATGTATATATAGTATATATATATGTATTGTATATAAACGTACGTACGAGTACTTTTATTCGATCTTTTTTACTCGTACGCTATCGAAAAGCTCAACTTTCGAGTGGACGTACCCCAGGAATATATTTTATGACGCAGCATCATTGAACCGAACCAATATCTGATTTTATAACTTCGATGAATCGACAACAATAAAATATTCAATGACGTTGTTGAATTAATTTCAAAATCGGTCATATATGGTTTATAAATTATTTTAATATAATCTTTTTGTGTCAAGCAAATTGTCGTATGATAATCGTTGAATTAGATTATTGTTAAAAAAATGTGAAATTTGTCTAGAAAGAATAAGTGGTTCCTTTTCTAATATTGATTTATATTTCAAATAATAACTATACGTCGATTTTTTCTTTTTCTTTCAAATTTACGTTGATCGTATATTAAAAATATTCATGACCTCTTTTGTAGTATTGAATAAATGTGAGAAGATATTAAATCGAGATGTACCTCCGAATTCGTAAAAAAAAATCCATAAAAAAGGAATAGTAAAAAGAAGATATTTTTAATATCTTCCTTATCTTTCTAATATCATTTTGTGCAAGTAACAACTATATCAAATGCATCAAAATTGTACCAATATTCGTAAAAATAAATTCCAAGTTAGTAGATACACGAATATTTAACGTTTATTATAATTATATTCGTCTCCGATCGCGACGAAATTATTTTCAAAAACAAACAAATATATTTCCTAATTTTCTTTCATTTCTATTAAATCAATATCTATACACAGATATCTTAAATAACAAAAAAAAATAATTCGCGTGAAAGATAAAATAAAAATAAGACTAAAAGAATCGCGCTAAAAAAAGTTGTTCCAATGCGTTCCTTCCGTCAACAAAAAAAAACAAAATCGAAATAACTAGAAAGTTAGATAAAGTAAGTAAATACTTTTTAAGGAAGACAACAACAAAAAATGAGAAAGGATAAAGAAAGGTGTGGAGAGGGGAGAGGAGAAGGAAGGATATAAACGCTGAGAAAGGAGCGCGTAAAAGGAAGAGCTTTTTATTCGTTGATCGCGCTCACTCTCTCTCTCTCTCCCACCCACCCTTTATTTCTTTCGTGATGGCAACGCGCCACGGGAACACAACGTGCAATTTTAATCCTGGAATTACTTCCATTTTATTCCAATTTTCTTGCATTTAAACCGTCTAAGCGAGTTTACTTTCGCAATATCATTGCCGTGGAGCGTTGCCTTGGAAAGAAAGGATGAGGAAGCAAAGGAGAAGAAGAAGAAGAGGAGGAAGAGGAAGGAAGGAAGGAACGCAGGAAGAAGAAGAAGAAGAATAAGAATAAGGATTAGGAGGAAGGTGGTTGAAGGGGAAGAGGAGAGATTGGAATAAGGCGAAAGAAGGGAAGCGAGTCGAGCTTCGAAGGAGGAAAACTAAGAAAGAGGTGGGAGAAGGTTGGAAGTACCTACTCTAATAAATTTACGACCTAAAAAGGTTAAGCCGCGTTAGCCCTGTTCTTTATATTTCCGCGTGCGCGCGCGCGCTCGAGCGAGAGGGAGGAAGGGGGTGGAGGAGGGTTCGGGAACGTTGCTCCGGCCGGCAAACAGGCAAGCAGGCAGGCACGAGTCAATGAGAGAGAAAGAGTAAGATGGTAATAAATGGGAGAGAGAGAGAGAGAGAAGAGGTTAGGGGGAGGTTGGGGTGGTATGAAAAGGAGATAAAAGATATATAAGAGATACGAAGGGAAATTCGCTTATTTTCTCATCATTTCAACGTAGCATCTTGTCCATGACCTTTTCCTCATCTACGGGGCCAGGAAAGAAAATTGCTTCTCTACTTCGTAGCAAAATATCGTCCTGATAAAACCTGGGAATCCTTCGCCAATATCCAACCAAACGACCAACACGTAACAAGACAATTCTCCTACGACGTATTTATTATACTCGTTTATTTAATATCTTATAGTACTTATGTCAATTTTTAATATTATTATTTTACACGAATTTAAGAGGTTTTTTTTTTAATTTAAATTTTCATGATACGTTCGTTTGACAATTTAAAATATCATTTTTGTGATCTATTATAAATCTATAAAATCAAGAAAAAACTATTTGGAAGATATTTTATAGTAATATTATTTTAGAAGATCAAACCGGTGGTAAATTTTTATCTTAAATTCGAACACGTTAGTACGAAAATAATTTGTTTTTCATTTGTCTGTAGCGAATCTTTTTTACAATGAAGAAAACAAATCTTATATAAAGAGATTCTCGTAATAATATTTTACAACGCAGTCGTGGATTTTTATTAAAATGTGAACACGTTCGTCGTTTAATTATTTAAAACGTTGTATTTTGTTCTCGTTATTACGTGTGTCGGACCCATTAAAGTCGAGAAGATAAATCTTGAAAAGATTCTCAAGAATGGATGAAAGAAAGTGAGTAAGAGAAAAGAATTCGGGGCAGTTGGAGAGCAGCCAAGGAGTTAACAAGGTCGGATGTTAAATTGCAAAGGGTCGTTCTACGCTAAGGATGAAATTTATTTATATTTCGCGTTGATTCGAGAGAAGAAAAAATAAAATATAAAAAGAAAACAAGAAGAATAAGAGAGAGATGCAGAAAGGAAGGAAGGAAGGAAGGAAGAGAAAAAGAAAAGAAGGATAGTTAGAATTAGCCGAGCTCGTTCAATTAATACATTTTCATTTCCTCGAGCGTCTCTTAAAAATGAAAAATGAAAAAAAAGTTTCAACGATAAGCCAATTACTTAACCGTTTTCTTCGTGACAAGTTGAACGAGAAGCAACACTTCAATCGAAATTCCATCTTGTCAGTTAACGGTCTGTCTTCGCTTAACGAGCGTTATACCGCAGGATTGCTGAGCTTGATAAAGTTCAATAAAAATGGAATTAAAAAGAAAGAAAGAAACAAACGAGAAAAAAAAATAGAGAGAGATCTTTAATTTCGTTTGGTTGGTCCAACGAGTTGAAGTCGAAGATGACAAAGTGACAAAAAAAGAAGAAGACACAAAAAAATAATTCTTGATGGAATACTTCTCTCATATATATATATATATATATATGATCATGGGCCACCAGGTTGTCCTGGGATGGATCCATCTCTATTATCTCGTTTCTCATCTCTCTCTCTCTCTTTCCCTCTATCTCTCTGTAAATTCGTCACGAACACACGCAATAGGGCCCCCCGATCGTCGTTTCTTCGTGCCATTGAATAATTCATAAGCCGAGAAGGCAAAGGCCGATAAGCATCGGCTCTTAACGCGATAGACTTTAGCGGGCTGCCAACAGCAGCCATGTTACAATAAAGAGATCAACATGGCCGTCCTACTAGCTCCTTATCCCCACCATTTACTTCCTACTCTCTTTCCTTTTTCTTCTTCTTCTTCTTCTTCCTCTTCCTCTTCCTCTTCTTCATCTTATTTCTTTTTTCTTCTTTTTCTTACTTACTCACTTGGCCAACCATTCAATTCTGTTCTGTTCTGTTCTTTCTTTCTTTTTCGCACTCGTTCGGTCCATTTCGGAACACCGTCACGTCGTTCACTTTCGATTTTGCCCTAAGGGCTCGTTACCCTCTTGATGCCGAAGAACGAAGGGTGGACCCCTTTAGACGGCCTCCTTTTCTTATTCCAGAACCGCTTCCAGGGGTGGACCGCCCCGCCCAGAGACATTTCTCAAACCCTCCTTCGTAGAACGAGTGCGCCAGCGCACTTCTATGTATGTATACGTCTCGTACATATGTGTATACGTGTGTGTGTGTGTGTTTCTGTGTGTATCGCACTTTCTTTCCTTGTATTTGTATATATACTTGCACGCAGCGTGCCAGAAAGAGAAGCTTAACAGCCACTTTTCTCGCCCTCGATCGAGTACCACAGCTCGCCAAAGGAACTCCATTTTCGCCAACCCCTCTTCTTTCTTTCGTTTTTTTTCTCTCTTTCTCTCTCTCTCTGTCTCTGTCGCACTCGCGTGCTTCTTAGCAGGGAATTTGTCAGTTGACCGCTCTCACAGAACGTAAAAACAAGTCTGAATCGGCAGGGCTCTTTGAAAACAGGGGAACTAGTAACTTTACCCTCATACCATACATGACTATACTTGACTACGACTCTTGACTTGTTTCTTGACACTTGGTAAATGAGATTTCATTTCTAGTGAAGAGTGTTAATTAAGAAGAGAAAAACAAACAAAATGTATAAGATTTAAAATACTCTCTTACACACTCAATTTATTTATTTATTTATATATATATATATATATATACGTTCGTGTTCGTCATTTATTCGAAACTTTTGTTTCAATTCATTTTTCGTTTAATTTTTGTTGTTTTTTTTTCTAATGTTCCAGGTGTGGTTTCAAAATAGACGAGCCAAATGGCGTAGGCAAGAAAAAATGGAAGCTGCCAGACTTGGTCTAAGCGAATATCATCATGCCGCTAACATGAGGTATGATTTTCAACGTTTTCTTTTTTCTTTTTTTTTTTTTTTTWTTTTTACTACGAATGATACATTTGTATACGAGAAATTTTTATTGAAAAATATACACATCTCGCGTAATCAAAGATTTATTTGCGACAGCGTCAATTAATTAATCCGAAATTCAGATTTAATAAACGACATAGTTTGAGCGTAGTCTTAAATTAATAAAATGGTGAAATAAAGAAAAGTTAGCCGAAAGATTTAACATTTTTATCTAAGTATAAATAAAGTTGTATAATTTAATTAACCATAAAAGCTGTGATTCTATCTCTCTCACTCATTCTCCCTCTCTCTCTCTCTCTCTCTCTCTTTTTCTGAGTATTAATTAAAACGTGGACAATAATAAACGCTGTCATAACAAATTGTCTTTTACGAAGTTTTATCGATCTATCTATCTCTTTCTCTCTCCCTCTCGCGAGTTTAACAACTTCTGAGTTAATTAGAAAGACAGAGAAAGAGAGGAGAAAAAGATAGAGATAAACCAGCAATCTACATTTGATACTACGATTATATATTCCTCGAAGTCACGAAAGTTAGCTGACCGAGTTTTGAAGTTAAGTAAAAAGGAATAATCATAAATATATCTATGGTTTATGTCTGGTAGAAACGTCGGTGGAACGACTCTTGGATTACCTGGAGATCCTTGGCTCGCACCGCCAGGACTTTTGAGCGCACTTCCAGGATTCCTGGCAGCACCGCACACAGGATATCCAAGTTATTTAACCTCCCCGAGACGATTGCCCTCTCCTCCGAACGTTGCTGCTGTGGCTAATGCGGTCCCAGGTACGTCGAACCTATCGAGACACTTGCTATCGAGTCCAAGCAAATTCGTCTCCATCGGATTTCGATTGGAACAATTTTAAACGAAAGATTATACCAATATCTTTCCTCCTCATATATTCAATATCTAATATAAAAACCAAAGAACGAATAAAGATACATCTTTCGACTGGACTGATTGATCTTTCAACTTCTAAATAACTCGGTACGTTCATTTCACTTTTCTTATTAATCATCGTACGTACAATTAATGCTAAACACGTATTTCGTATTTCGATATATATTATTTAGATTATTAATTGTCATTTGTTACAACATTATATTTTTATTCTATGCGAATAATAATGAAATAATATTGAGATACGTTATTGATAACATTAAATTTAGAATTTTAATTGTAAATATGAAAATTGTTGTAGATTTAATATTAATAAAGAAGAAAATATGACTTATTAATCTTTTCAAGATTCCTCCAATACGATATAATACTCTCTTTATAAATTTTCCGACCAGAAAAATATAAATCTCTGTTTAAATAAGATAAATATATATATATATATTATTGGAAATAAAATAAAATATAATAAATATAGTCGGTCTCTTGAAGAGATTAATTTAGAAGTTAATACAAATTTTATATAATCAAAAGAAAGATCAATATAATTGCCGAGAGATGATAAATAAGTAGATATTTTTATTGAACAAATAAATATGAATTGAAGAAGACAAGAAAAAATGTTGATGTGTCTGCAGGAACATTGGGAGGTGGAATGGCAAGCATAGGAGGTGGTAGTCACGTCCAACCACCACCTCCGAGTCCTCCAGGTCACGATCCCCGTACGAGCAGCATCCAAGCATTAAGAATGCGAGCCAAGGAACATGTCGAAAGCATCACCAAGGGACTTCAAATGGTTTGAAGTTTAACGTTAGATTCGAGAAGATAATCGAATTTACCAGCCGACAAAGTTGATGCCGAATTCATCATCTTTGCTGTTGTCGTCAGGAACAGGAACGAAGACTACAAGTATATTTCTTCATTGGAATTAATCACTTATCGTCCAACTTTCCATCATCTTGTTCTTGGGTTTTATTAATAAGAAACATTAATGAATGAACTTGCGTTTGGATGTTCGTGAAATAACGGTTTTTACCGAAAACGACAAAAGGAATCCAGGAATTCGTTCGACCCGGTTTTAAGGAAGAACTTTTATAATCGAGGTGTAAGACAACCGAAAAGAAAAAAAAAGAAAAGAAACGGGTAAAAAAAAAAGAAATTATGAAAGAAGGAAGTTAGTACCTGCTTTCGTTGTTCGTCCAAAAACAAAAAAACAAAAAAAAGGAAACAAAAAGATCCAAACCGATCGACGAAATAATCGAAGTAAAGTTTAACAACAACAACAAAATTAATTAACATAATAATGGATTCAAGTTATTCGATTGCATTATTGAGACATGATTATCGAAAACAATAATGGCTTACTTAGGTATTTCAATGAGACAATGAAATATAAAAGCGTGTTTATCGTATTCCACGATGATGTGCAATATCAATGAGAGAGACGACCATGACGAATGTTCATTCGACGAGATAAGCAACGTTTAATAAAATGAGTGACTATCTTTTATGAGCATGTGTGTGGGGTGAGTGATGAAAACTACGGGGTGACTTGAAACTTTTCAACAAATCGTGCAAGTTTAGCAAGTTAGATCGTGAATTTGTATGAACTGCATACGCGTATGTATTTGTATGTATATTTCTTTCGTGTGAAAGAAAAGGAATGAAATGAAAAAATGATAAATAATTGAAGATAATATGTTTATCCTCTCGGTCGAACGATTTATATCGGTGAAGTGTTGTTTGTGACAATCATACGAACGTGTACGATCAATTGTCACGTGTGTATAAGAAAATTAAATTAACACTTAACCCAACCCCCCCCCCGAACTCTAACTAGAAATTTATCTATGTATTTCTCTATTTTGATTTTTAAGAGAACAATCGCGAGTGTATTAGAAATGATAGAGTGAGCGAGAATGAGAGAGAGAGAGAGAGAGAGAGAGAAAGAGAAAAACGGAGATAAACAAACAAAAAACTTACGAGAGACTGACATTCTCATCGATCTTTTTTCTTCAATGAATTTTAACAGGAATCGTGTTACAAAAATTATGCGAATGAATTTCGTCATTTAATTACAATTCGATCTAATCCTTACCAATCCTTGTTTAATGATAAGGAGGAAGAGAGGATGAAAAAGTCGCTCGTGTAGTGGTTAAATAAAAAAAAAAAAAAAACTAAAAAACAAAAAAACAAAGTAAAATCTTCCGATGGTATTTTAGGCTGCCAACAGTAACACTCACGTACGTCCCAAAGTTGTCCTAATCGTCCGAAAACGGACATACACGCCGTTTAAAGGATTAGAAAAAGATTAGAAATTAACTCTCTTGTGTAGCGAGTAATAGCTTCGTAAAAAAAGAAATGACGAAGAGAGGACGATCGGTGGAATAACATTTTGACATAAACAATATTCTGCAGTATTAGTACGTTAAGAAGAAAAAAAGTAATTAATGATTAAAAACCGAAAAAAAAAAAAAGAAGAAGAAATAAATAAAAAGAAAAAAAAGAAGAGGAAGAAGAGAGGAAGAAGAAGAAAAAGAAGAAGGGGGAGGAGGATTGTGCATATTATGCGTAGAGTCATTATAAGAGGAATGTAAATTCGAAAAAAAGCTTTTGAAAGAAAAGGAGATCGGTCGTATGAAAAGTTACAAAAAATAAAACAAAAAAAAGAAAGTAATAAAGAAAAAAAAACAATTGTTCGATTCGATTGGATAAATTCGAAAAATGAATTTTTTTCGAATTTTAATTTTATGTTTGAAAATTTCATCGATCGATCTCCGTCAATCTCTACGCGTCCGATGATCATCAAACGTAGATAAAACTAAAACCACCCACCTTACATCCACCCTAAATCATTCCAGAAAACGTCTGTTTGTATATATTACCTGCTCTCGTGATAAAATAAAAATTTGATGTACATATTTAATCATATTCAACGTCGTTCGAGGAAGAATATCCCCTTTTAAAGAAAATAAAGGTGCAAGCGCTGATAACGTAGTAAAAAAAAAAACAAAAAAAGACAAAAAAACAAAACCATAACCCGTCAGGATGTGTAAGATAGATATGTCCTGTGAATGACTCCACATGAACATATATTCCTAATCCCATTTTTAATTTAATTCGTAATAATTTGTTGAAAAAGAAAAAAAACAAGTATTTCTAAATTTTCATTAGCCAGAATTATTTTTCAACGATGTGAATAATATTAAAATTTAACATTTCTATTTTCACGATTTTTTCGATTTAAAAATAAAATCAAAGTTGCCGTCAGAGGATTGCGCGTAAATATTTCACGACATAATACGAATATACTAATTACAATTAAACGATCTTTATTATCTTAAACGATATATAGATTTAGAACAAAATTTCAATAAAAAGTTTAACCGATGTCCGTCATCGTTAATCCTAGCACGGATATCGAAGATCGGTAATTCGTGCGTGTTAGCTCGTGATGATTAACACTCCGGATAGTAGTAGTCGTCCTTTCGTGAGAAAAGAATGAAAAAAAAAAAAAAAAAAAAAAAAAAAATAAAAACAAAAAAAAAAAGAATAAGAAGAAAAGAAAAGGAAAGAAAAGAAAAGCATTAGCGTCAGAGCGTGAAAGGATTCGACGTTAACAGCACCAACAACGGCTGCTGGTCGGTGGAACAATGGGTGCTGAATGGTCCCTGAACGATTAGGTATTCCAATCGTCGCGTTTAGGGGTCGCTGTGAAGTACGCCAAGGGGGCGGAGGATAGGAAGGGCTGGCTGGCTGGATGGTTGGATGGCTGGCTGGGCTGGCTGGCTGGCTGGCTAAGAGGGCGCCAGAACTCACCCAATAAAATGGTAATTCCTGTTTGCCAAAGTTAACCATGCGAGCGAGCCTGGAGATTCGAGTCCATGCGTACTCCCTAACTCCAAAGACTAATAATACCGAGAGCAAAGTGCTAAGCCGACGGTGATATATAGTTTGACGAGAAAGTAAGAAAGGAAGAAACGAATTTCTAGCAAAACCTAACAAAACTTCTTCAACGCGCGAATTCTTGAGGAATTCGATCAAAAACCCCTTTCAACGAACTTTCCTTTTTCTACTTCGCTTTTTTTTTTTCCCCCCTTACCTTTTTCCACAAAACCCCAACTTTGCAATCAATGATTTTCACCAACTGGAAAGATTTTTCTTTCTTTTCTTTTTTTCAATAAGTTAACAAACAATGAGAATAGGAATAGGAATAGAACAAGATAGGATAGTGGGAGAATTTAATTTGTTTTTTTTTTTTTTAGAGAAGGAAAAAAGATAGAAACGGAAAGAGGAATAAGGCAAGATAGAATAGTGGGTTATCGAAAAAGGTAATACGTAGATATCGAAAGTTTCATTACTACCCCAAACGAGTAATCGTCGCTAACTATGATATATAAAGAAAAAAAAAGAAAGAAAGAAAGAAAAAAAAAAGCAAACGAGAAAAAAAAAAAAGTGGAAATAATTCGAGTTGGCGCGTTAGGACGTAGTAAACCGTGGAAATGCGAGGGAGAGATATCGTTCCAACATTAATCAAGGTTCCATGAATAAAATCCATCGGAGCGCGATGGTCAACGGCGTTTTACGATCAATTTGACCGAATTAGCCGGTCGTTAACATGCATATCAGCTTAAACGCCGAGTATCGAGATTGAAGGTGACACACGAACAGTTAAGGCTCGAAATTGGCACGGAAATAGTGACTTTATTAAATTTGTTTTGGCCTGGAGGAGTAAGAGGAATAGGAGGAGTAGGAGGAGTAGGAGGAGAAGTAGGAAGAGAAGGAGGAGGAGTAGAGAATAAGGAAGAGAGAAGGATCTACCTCTGGACGAAATATCTGTCTAATAACGCTGCTCGCCTAACTTTATTGCCCCGACAAAGTAAAGAACCAACGAAGGACTCGAATAAGCTCGCTCCGAGAAAGCAACGAGATCAATGAAACTCCGGAGCAACCGTGCGGAATCCGCAAACAGTGGTAACAGTAGGAATTCGTCGAACCGCTTGAGAATATACTTTAACTTCTATCTCTCTCTTTCTCTCTCTGTCTCTCTTCGTTTCCCTATCCTACCTATTCTCTCTTTCTATTTCACGTCGTCTTACATATACGTTTAACAACGCGAATATTCATTAAACGTTTGCTCATCATCTAAACTACGTCGTACAAAAACCAAATCCCTCCTCTCTTTCTATCAACTTCTTGTATTCCGTATTCATTCTCCACCGAAGAATACTTACAAACAATCAACCATTTTAAAGTACTCTTATTCTTAATAAAAAAAAAGGATTAAAATAAAAATAAAAGAAAAAACAAATATTAAGATAATAGTAATGAAAAAGAAAATAAAGAAGAATAATATTCGTCCTCTTGTGTCCTACTAAATAAGTAAGTATTTTTCTTCTCAATCGTTTCTCATGTGATTGTCTTGAGAAAAAACATCATTCCTCTTAGTTTAACCATTCTTTTCAATAATCTTCTATAGCATACATATCATCTTCTACCGTCGTCAGCGAATTAGAGATCTCGCAAAAGCAGCATGATATTGGTAAATAGATAGATAGGTAGATAGATAGATAGATACAGATAAAGAGAGATTGAGTGAGAAACGGGTGGGGGCTAGGGGAAGAGGGTGTGAGTCGACCTTCTGTTTAGCATTATTAATTAGAGAGCGGCCAAAGTCGTACTAAGTTGGCGAGTACATAAGCAGAAATAATATTTGCACGGGCGTTCATTAGACGTGGCAGCCGACGGAGATGGCGCCACAAACGCGCGGCCGGATTCTCATTAAAATAACCGTGCGTCTCTCCCGGCACCCTCTTCTTCTCACCCTCCAACTCTCTCCCTCTCTCTTCGTCATCCCTCCTCTTTCTCTATCTCTCTCTTATCACCAGCACCACCACCACAACCACCGAGCAAAGCTACTCGTTCTTTCAAGAGAAACGCGAACAGAGGAGGTTTTTCTCTGGCTGATAAAGAAGGGAAAAAATAAAATGGCTGACGGTACGGTTAGAGAAAGAAAGAAAGATAGAAAGATAGAAAGAAAGAGATAGAGGGATGAAAAAGGGTAGGGAGACAATTGAGAACAAAGTGAACGTGGATGGTCTCTCTCTCTCTCTCTCTCTCTCTCTTTTACTACCCCTTTTTTCTCGTTAGACATAAAGTAGAACGAGGATGTAGTAGCCGGCGGGATGTTAGTTAGATAGATAGAGTGAAAGAGGGAGAAAATGAGAAAGGGAGAGTGAGCGAAGTAGAAAAAGTATCGGGAAAAAAAAAGAAAAAAAAAGGAGGGGGGGGGCCGGTAAGTGGAGAGGCAGGGCACCGAGTTACGAGGTAGTTTATCTACCTCTAGGTAAGTTAAATGAAAGTCGCGGTTACCCCCTAACGCGAAAATACGCTTGGGGAAAATTTCGTTTTTTCAGGCTGATTAATGTAATAGGTATATACCTCAGTGGCGGCTGCGGCGGCTACTCTTCGAGCAAGATAATTGGTCATTTTCTCTCCTACCTTCTTTCTCTCTCTCTCTCTCACACACACACATTCTATATATATCTTTTTTACTCATTTTCTCTAATTCTCTTTTCTCTCTCTCTCTCTCTCTTTGATATCTACGGAACGTCGCGTTAACGTAGGTGAACGACGGCCTCGTGTGTTCAGCCCATTCTAGTTCCTCTCTTCCACGAAAAGATTGCACTGCTGCTGCTGCTGGTGCTGCTGCTACTGCTGTCGCTGCTTCTCTTCCTCGCTTTTCCGCACACCGTTGGAAGACGAACAATGAAAACGTTTAAACGCGTCGGCCCGCAAATTGACGTTGACATCAATGGCACGCCGTTGAAACTGAGAGCCATACACCAGTTTTTCTTTCTCATTCTTTATCTCTCTCTCTCTCTCTCTCTCTCTCTCTTTCTCTTTTTTCACCGTTCCTTTCTCTTCTTCCCCCTTTACGTTTGACTTCAATTTTTTCCTTTTGCCACTCTCGTTAAACGTTTCATTATCAACGTCCGAACAAATTCATATGCATTTATACGACCGACAAGAGACAAGGGTGCCGTTGTATCTCGTTTTTTGTTACTCTACCTAACGTACAACGAATTATTATTATTATTATTATTATTATTATTTATTATCCATATATCACTGAACATGTTGATGAGAAATTAAATCACGTAAAGTAACGAAGGATCTGTGCTGTACGAGTTAAGGGTGGGGAATAGGAAGGGGGATGGGATGGGATGGATAGTCGTGGAATGTAAAAGTTAGTAACACGGTAAATCGCGGATAGGAGGATTCATCGAGGATTCGCATCAGAAGGACGTTACTTCGAGCGTAACATCAGACGTGAATTGGCTATCGTTCGATAAATATCATTCGATTCGACTCTCTCTCTCTCTCTCTCTCTCTCTCTCTCTCTCTCTCTCTCTCTCTCTCTCTTGCTTTATTACATTTTTTATCTTGCACGGAAGGCGGAAGGCAAATAGCAAAGGCTGCGCCTCGAACCACGAGCGGGCTAACAACAAAGTAAAGCGATGGTGATGGTATAAAAAAGAGAGAGAGAGAGAGAGAGAGAGAGAGGAGGGTTGGGACAGGATTGAAAGGGAGCGTCGCGACGGTGCGAAAAGGCCGGCGTCGATCGAGCGTTAATTAAACAATTTCGCGAGCGAGATGC